TCTCATATGTTATCGCACATATTTTATCTATAAAAATTCTTTCGCTAGCAATTTTTAGACCATTGCAATTTTATCTCGTACTGGACGTGACAAACATGACAAATCACGAAAAGGAATTGCACTATACGCAAAATAAATGTATATACATGGAAGGTAAAGAACCATGTAGAATTCCTGTTCCAGTTGACCGATGTCCACTTAATAAATTATCTATGGTAATAACGGAGACGTGTGGCCTATTCGAAGACATACCGCAATGTAATACTATTCTATCGTAATACTATTTTTTTCACTTATAGTTAAATGGTGCTGGTGATGCAAGTGAACTCCAAAAAGTATATGCTGAACATATAGCTTCGTTGGTTGATCTACGCTGGCAATTACTAGGTACCGAGTCAACGGGAAAAGCAACTCTATCCGGCATTACTTTAACTCAGGATATGTTATATCTGGTCAGAATGAGTCCTCTACAGTGAGATGCGTATACTATTTATACACTATTTACCATGCGTATGTATAAAAAAAAACTTAAAATTACTAAACAAATTCAACATTTTCCAGAAATAACTATCAACGATATTATTGTAAAAGCACAAGAAGAACTGTCGTGTGCTTTGGGCGAATGCATAAGTGTTGGTGTGGGAGTGTGCAATGCTCTGGAGCATCCGCTGAGTGATCTTACATTGTCCATTAATTTCTATCAGGACCATCATAATGGAGTGAATAATTATCAGTTGGAAACAAGATTATCCAGCTGGAGCAAATAAGGTCATGCTGCCTACTGTGTGTCACAACTTTAATAAATACAATTTATTAATATTATACACCCTTGTCTTACGTTCCCGAATTTATGAAAAAACAACAGTTACAGGAATCCGGCAGAGTCTATCATGAATGTCGCGTAGTATTTTTCACTGCTGGTCAGTACAAAATAGATATTCAATGTAGTAGTAAAGAATCCGCTCCAAATTCTCCAATACTTTATTCGGAGCTCGTAAATGCGGGACATACATGGCGTTATATACCGCCCGTCGAAATAACTGTCGACGATTATTAATATAAATAGAAAATACAAATCACCGTCTACACCAATGAACTGTAATATTTGTAAAAAGAAAGAACCGAAACGTTGTGTATTAATTATATACATAAAAATAAAGAAAAAATATTTACTTTAATAAAGTTAATAAATTTTTATGTAATTCTATGTGTATGCGTTAAATATAAATTGTTTACTTCCAACAAGCTATATATGTGTAGATTATAAAAACTATAAATATTATCGTTTATTTCCCTCTAACTTTATCTTCTTGCCGAGAGGAATCATTTCCATCTCTTGCACATTCCTCCTAAACTTTTTGTAAAATTCAACTACAGCTGTATTAGCCCACACCTGTTGGCTATCAAAATCTAAAACACGTAAACTTTGTAAGCTCTGAGCTCTCGAAAGTGCTACGTAAGATTGACCAGCGTCAAATACCCTCGCCAAACACATTTCCACACAGTCTAAAGTTAAGCCCTGACTTTTATGAATCGAAAAGGCCCACGCTAGCTTTAACGACTTGTTTTCGGTGTATGACAGCACCGGAAGTGGTTTTGATAGCCCATTTTTCCATCTTTGCCTCATAATGGGTTCCAGATCGCAACTGAATCACCGGTATATCATTTTTAAAACTAACAACAACCCCTCGAGCTCCGTTCACCAATCCACTGTTAACATTTATATTTTTCAGCAGCATAACTTGCGCGCCAACTTTCAGTACTAATTTACCGGGTATAGGCAGCTGCTGATCCAACATGTGCGTCATAGAACTATCGGAATCTAACGCTGTATATACTTTACTCTCGCCCTTAAGTTCATTCAACTATAATTCGTTAATCTCATCGGCCTCCTTCACGTGCGAACATAATCTAGTTGCCAATACTCCGTTGCTTTCAATTTTTTGCTTCGCCGTTTCCTTCAAGATATCTACGATGTCATCCGTGACTCTACCTATCCTAACGCTATTCAATATTTTCACGCCTTGTCCTTTTGTCGATGGACCGTCTGCAATTCAAAATTAAAGTGAACACATTTTTGCTAGGCCTCTCTCTGAAAGCAAAACTTGGCCTTGTCGTCGGTCCTAGACACGGGAGGTAACTGAAAGAAGTCGCCGCACAAGATTAATTGTATTCCTCCGAAGGGTCTTTCCGTTCTGTGCACGTCTCGCCACCGCCTCGATCTTGTCAAAAAAATCACTGTTTACCATAGAAATTTCGTCAATCACCAAGTGTTTCGTTCTCCTCCATATCGAAGCTGTAAGAATAATGTGTTTGTTTTTTTTTCTTATCATTATAGACATGGAGGATAGAGATCATTTATAAGGAAATAACATTTTTGCGACTTTAATTCAATCAATGCATGAAAAAAATCATACGCTCATGGCAAAGAGAAATGCCTGAAAACGAAATCGTAGCTACGATTAGGCGTAATATAAAAATAGTGAACTTGTAGATTTAGCGATACAAAGAAGCAAGTAAAACTATATTTCAGTGGATCGTAAAAAATAAAAGATCGAGGAAAACCACATTCAAAGAAAATCTATATCCCGACAATTACATTCAAGAAGACCTTTTTTTAATAATAAGAACAGCGATCGCAAAAACGGAGCCGATTTCTGTAAACATAAGTTGCTCAAGTTTAATATTATTAATTATTTCACAAAAAATGTAATAAAGTTTTATCACTTATTAACATAGTTGAATTTGTAAACGTTTACAAGTTATAAAATAATAGTAATATTAATGTAAATATTATATGTAGTATTGTTAATAGTATAATTAAAAGCAAAATGAAAAAGTAGCAAATACTTATCCATTTATTAAAATAAATATAGAAAAAATACGTAAAAAGTTATATTCTACAAAATACATATTAAAGACATACACTTAAAAGACATTATCGAACCGTTTCATTTCACAACTGTCAAATACGGTCAGAAACGATCATAGGTTAAGTCTGTTTATTTAGGGACATTTTCATGCGTATAACCTGCGCAACCTGAAACTCATTGATTCACATAGATGGGAATAAGCACGTTAGAAATGTCACTCCAGGCAAACGAAAGTCCAGGCATTAATGAATAGCAGTGTACGTGTACAGTTGGGCCTAATCTTCACTTGCTTCGAAACAATAT